CCAGCCTGGGCTACATAGTGAGATTTCATCTCTACTAAAAATTTTTAAAATGGTGGGGTGCAGTGGCTCATGCCACCTAGCACTTTGGGAGGCTGAGACAGGCAGATTGCTTGAGCTCAGGAGTTCAGGACTAGCCTGGGCAAATGAAAAAACCCTGTCTCTACAAAAAATACGAAAACTTAATTGGGCATGGTGGTGCATGCCTATAGCCCCAGATACTCAGGAGGCTGAAGCAAGAGGATCACTTGACCCCACGAGATGGAGGCTGCAGTGAGCTATAATTGTACTATTGCACTTCAGCTTGAGCTACAGAGTGAGACCTTTTTTCAAAAAATAATTATAATAGGCCGGGCGCGGTGGTTCACGCCTATAATCCCAGCACTTTGGGAGGCCGAGGCTGGTAGATCATGAGGTCAAGAGATCGAGACCATGCTGGTCAACAAGATGAAACCCCGTCTCTACTAAAAATACAAAAATTAGCTGGGCATGGTGGCGCACGCCTGTAATCCCAGCTACTCAGGAGGCTGAGGCAGGAGAATTGCTTGAACCCAGGAGGCGGAGGTTGCGGTGAGCCAAGATCGCACCATTGCACTCCAGCCTGGGTAACAAGAGCAAAACTCCGTCTCAAAAAAAAGTTAAAAAAATAATAATTATAATAATGTTGAGCAGAGTGTTGGCAAAAGGTAGGAAAGCGATAAAGGATGGTGGTATGATGTTATTCTCAGTGGTAGCCCTGTCCTTTGTTCAGCTGAAATTTAATCTCTCTGCCAGTAATCAGGATACAGTAACCCCTTCTCCCTAGGGCCTTGCTCAACAATTTTTATTTCTATTTTCAATTAATTATCATTTATTTTAGAGACAGGGACTCACTCTGTGGCCCAGGATAGAGTGCAGTGGCATGATCACAGCTCACTGCAGTCTCAACCTCCCAGGCTCCAATGATCCTCCCACCTTTGTCTCCCAAGTAGCTGGGATTACAGGTGCATGCCAGCATGTCCGGCTAATTTTTTTTAAATTTTTTTGTGGAGACAGGGTCTCACCATGTTGCCCAGGCTGGTCTCAAATTCCTGGGCTCAAGTGATCCTCCACTTCAGCCTCCCAAATTGTTTATTTATTTTTCCTGTCTTCAACTTCTCCCTCGACATCTAGTTTTTTCCCCACAGCAAAAGGACATGCTTGGGTGTCAAAATATAAATCAATAGCCATCACTACATCCCGTGTCTTCCTTTCACTAACTCTTCTCACTTCACAGACAAGCTTCTTAAAAGTGCAGCTTCCCTGACTGGGTCCACATCCTTGCTTCCCATTCACCAGCTGGAGTTACCATCCAGTAAAAGAGTCCATTCCTCTTACTCACCAAAGGGTCTGCTCTTTGGAAAATGGCTTTACTGATTCTCAAAGAAGTATAATGAAAATAAATACACCATATTGCTACTAATTCAGAGCTTTATTAATATGAATGAGAATAATTATTTTTTTTAAACAATCTCACTCTGTCACTCAGGTTGGAGTGCACTAGCGCAATCTCAGCTCACTGCAACCTCTGCCTCCTGGATTCAAGTGATTCTCCTGCCTCACCCTCCCAAGTAGCTGGGATTACAGGCACACATCACCATGCCTGGCTAACTTTTTTGTATTTTCAGTAGAGATGGGGTTTCACCATGTTGGCCAGGCTGGTCTCAAACTCCTGACCTTAAGTGATCCACCCACCTCAGCCCCCCAAAGTGCTGGGATTACAGGCATGAGCTATTGCACCCAGCCAAAAATAATTTTTTTTTTTTTGAGACAGAGTCTCACTCTGTCACCCAGGCTGAAGTGCAGTGGCACAATCTTGGCTTACTGTAACCCCCATCTACCAGGTTCAAGCGATTCTCCTACATCAGCCTCCCAAGTAGCTAGGATTACAAGTGTTTGCCAACACACCCAGCTAATTTTTGTATTTTTAGTACAGCCAGGATTTCACCATGTTGGCCAGGGTGGTCTCGAACTCCTGACCTCAGGTGATCCACCTGCCTCAGCCTCCCAAAGTGCTGGGATTACAGGCATGAGCCACCACACCTGGCAGGAAATAATTTTTAATATTATGAAGGATAGTAGATTTTCCTTTGTATTAATGCTACCTCTGATCATAATATAAGCAAAATTGTTTAAAGTGTTAAAAACAATTCTGTTGATTAATGCAACAATAAGAGCTAATGATCCTAATACCCAGATACATAGAGACTTAGACTCAATGAGACAGAAAATTAATAAGGATATCCAGAACTCAAACTCAGATCCAGAACAAGTAAACTTAATAAATATTCATAGAGCTCTCCACTTTAAATACATAAAATATACATTCTTGTCAATACCAAATCACACCTACTCATAGGTTTAAATGAAATGAAATATTGACTGGCCATTATTAATACCCATTTTTTAGAATAAAGCAACATTTCCGTTCTCTCTCCCTCTTTTTCTTTCTCTTTCTTCCTCTCCTTCACTTTTTTTTCTTTCCTTCTCTCCAAAAAAAAAAAAAGAAAAAAAAGAGAAAAAAAAACAAATCCAAGTGGAAATGCTTTTATAAGAAAGTTTAGAAGAAGGGAGAGGAACCCTCAGATATGAGTTGTCTTTTTTCTTTTCCTTTTCCTTTTTCTTTTTTGTCTTTTTTGCCTGGATTCAAGCAATTCTCCTGCCTCGGCCTCCTGAGTAGCTAGGATTACAGGTGTGCACCACCATGCCCGGCTAATTTTTGTATTTTTAGTATAGGTGGAGTTTCACCATGTTGGCCAGGCTGGTCTCAAACTCCTGACCTCAAATGATCCACCCATGTTGGCCTCCCAAAGTGCTGAGATTACAGGCATGCTCTGTGCCCAGCTTCTGAGTTCTTTTTTCATTGGAGGGTACAATCCTTGGCTACAGATCATAATGCACAGCTAAAATGTTCTGTGTGCAAGACAATCAGTACAACTTTGTGATTCTGAAACAAATCAGTGTCATTTTTAGTATCAGCAGGTTAGTATGTCTTAAGGAGCTCATGATAAAATTTCAGGGACTCATAATCACTTTCTTTACTCAGGGACAGACTACAAGCTATGAATTGTAAGACCTTCCCTGGATGGTTCATTGGGAAGCCTGCCAAATGTGACATGTAGGTTAACAGCCTCAAACCTGAAAAGTTATTTCTAGACCTGATTCCCTACTTGTTAGCCTTCTTGTCACCATGGAGACCATAGATTCTGTTAAACTAAATTTGGCCTAAGAATCCTTCCGTACCTGATTTGTTATGGAAGGAACTGCAACCTAACTTTTTAAAATCTATTTTTTGTAGAGAAGAGGGTCTCCCTATATTGCCCAGGCTAGTCTTGAACTCCTAGTCTCAAGCAAGCCTCCTGCCTCAGCCTCCCAACGTAATAAGAATATAGGAGCCAGCCACTAAGTGAGACCCTGCAACCTAACTTAGTAGTAAAGTAACTGAAAGCCTAACACAGGCATATACTCTTGTAACAAATAGCCCAGTCTCAACCAATCACAGCTTCTGAGCTCCAGTTAATCACCAGCAGCCAACTGATCAGACCATGTTCAAATGAGGCAAACCTGAAGCTGTAACTGATCAATCTGTTTCTGTTCCTCTCTTCCATTTTCCTTCTATAAATACTGCCTGCCCACCTTGTGGAATGAGTTCTCTGAACCTCTGCTGGCTCTGAGGGCTGCCTGACTCTCGAGCCTTTCTTTGCTCAGTTAAACTCTGCTAAATTTAATTTGTCTAAAGTTTTTATTTTAATAACTCATTGGTCTTTGTGTCCTACCTCATAGGCCACATCATTGATGTCAGCCATCATTGAAAAAAAAAAACAACAATTCTGTTTTCACAAAATCACCTAGTTCTCTAGATGCAAAAGCTGGAAACAATCTCTCCTCCCTCTGAATTCCTGCAGATTAGTCTTTATCTGTCATATTTTTATACAAAACATAAGTTCCTCAAAAGCAGGCTCAATTCATGTTATCACAGAACTCTCTGCAGTTAATAAATATTTGAAAATGAATAGACTTTATAAGCACCTGTTATAGAAGGGCTAATTCTAATTACAAATCAGTCTAATCAGCTCATTAAATCAGGCCACCTGAAAAACCTCCACTGTCATTTTGCCAACTTAATGTTAGTTTTCCTTAAGTATTGAAGCAGATAAAGTTGCATTCACACATTCATATCCTATAATTTAGGCTTTCACTCATTGAAAGATGCCTTGAAAAGTCTCAAATACTGAGACTCACAATACTATTTTGGTTTCAGTCTGGAAGGACTAGGGTAAGTCAGTGAAGTCGCCATTACCCAGTCCGAATGGTATGAGTAGGGCATGCCTATGGGAGGAATGCGTTTGTCTCCTCCCTCACCCAAAAAAATACCCTGGGAAGGAAAGACTGAAACTTACTCTCAGGCAATGCCTGCTCCCCTCTGCCTCAATTCCTTTCCTATAAGCTGAGTGTCAGCTTCTCATCATGGACATGATTTGCCACTAACTGGACCTTCCTAGGTTTGCTCATTTCTGAAACAAGAAAATTTGCCTAGGGAACCTCAAACTTTTTTTTTTTTTGGTCAATAGGGATGGGGTTTCACTATGTTGCTGAAGCTGGTTTCCAATTTCTGGGCTCAAGCAATCCTCCTGCCTCAGCCTCCCAAAGTACTGGGATAATAGGTGTGAGCAACTGCATCCAAACCCTCAAACTTTTTTTCATGCTGATATTCTGTGAATAATCATACATTATTTACCCATTTGAAAATCAGATTTTAGGCCAGAAACGGTGGCTCACACCTGTAGCTGCACACCTGAGAGTAAGTCTCAGTCTTTCCTGGAGGAACTCCCAGCACTTGGGAGGCTGAGGCAGGCAGTTCACCTAAGGTCAGGAGTTCGAGACCAGCCTGGCTAGCATGGTGAAATCCCGTCTCTACTAAAAATTCAAAAAGTTAGCCGGGCGTGGTGGTGCATGATCCATTAATTTATAATCTCACTACCTACCCTAGTTGCTATTTTATTATTTCAGGCTTGTATTGAGTAGTCCCAGCTACTCGAGAGGCTGAAGTAGGAGAATCACTTGAACCTAGGAGATGGAGGTTACAGTCAGCCAAGATTACACAACGGCACTCGAGCCCTGAGCAACAGACGGAGACTTCATCTAAAAAAAAAAGAAAATCAGATTATATTTTGAAAAGCAGGTCTAATGCTTAAAGAACCTGCTGGGAAATCCTTTTGTGATGTGAATACCACTGCCCACAGACACCTCCAATATAACTGTTAGATCATCTATATGAGACCAACAATTCTCCCAAGGCAGGATGTGGCAGTTGCCGTCAGGAGCTTCTTCCAAAGCACAGACGTTCCTGCCCCCACAGACCCTCTGAAGAAGGTAGTCTGTAATCCTTAGCCAGGCAGAATTATGGGCTTAGAGTTGGTATGCTAAGGGTAAAAAGGTGTCCAGGACTACTCACCAGGAAACACAGGCAGGGCCAGGTGACAGGCCCTAGTCCCTCTGGAGCCAGAACCAGCACCCCCCAGTTTGCTTTACCATTGTAGAGAGTGTAATTTCCAGCAGGGCTAAAAATCACAAATGGCTGAGGATGACGTTCTCCAGATTCATCCATGTCCCTACAAACAACACAAACTCATCATTTCTGATTGCTGCATAATATTCCATGGTGTATATGTACCACAAACTGACACAAGAACAGAAAATGAAACACCGCAAATTCTCACTCATAGGCGGGTGATGAAAAATGAGAACACATGGACACAGAAAGGGGAGTACTAAACACTGGGGTCTATTGGAAGGAAAAGGGGAGGGCCAGTGGGAGGGGGAGGTGGGGAGGGATAGCCTGGGGAGAAATGCCAAATGTGGGTGAAGGGAAGAAGGAAAGAAAAGCACACTGCCATGTGTGTTCCTACGCAACTGTCTTGCATGCTCTGCTCATGTACCCCAAAACCTAAAATCCAATAAAAAATTAAAAAAAAAAAAAATCACAAATGGCATACAGCCAGAGGGCAGGGCCAGGCTGGGTAAGCAAAAGCCAGATGTGTGCCAGGAAGTTTCCGGATTTAGAATCCAAGCAGTGAGAAGGGAGGTGAAGAACCTCCTACAGCAGACCTATAAAGTAGCTGCCCTCTTTGGGAGAGATCCAGGTTGCAGCAGGAAATCTCCTACCTCTGTGAGCCTCCTCAATTGTTCCAGGGACTCTCAGCAGCCTGATCCTTTAGGAAGAGAGATCCAGTGACTGGGACCGAAGTGACACCAGTTTACCAGTTTTGAAAACATTCCTACCCTAAAATAATAGTTGCTATTTTACTATTTCAGGCTTATATTACCACTACAGTTTACTGATTTCTCTCATCTCATTTTCTGCTTCATTTGTTTTGCACGATATACTATAAAACCTGCCCTGATCACTGCTTTTATCACCACTATCTGCTCAAGAGCCTACGGCTCTTCATTACCAAGCCCACCATGCTAAAATAATTTTGTCTGGTTTCAGCCCACCCACCATGTTCAAGTCAGAATCTATTTCCTGGTTTGTTTGTTTTTTTTGTCTTGTTTTTGAGACAGGCTCTCCCACTGTCACCCAGCCTGGAGTGCAGTTGCACAATCATGGTTCATTGCAGCCTCAACCTCCCAGGCTCAAGCTATCTTCCTTCCTCAGTCTCCCAAGTAATTGGGACTACAATCCTATACCACCATATCCAGATAATATATATTTTTTTAATTTCTTGTAGAGATGAGGTTTCACCATGTTGCCCAGGCTGGTCTCAAACTCCTGAGCTCAAGGAATCCACCTGCCTCAACCTCCCAAAGTGCTGAAATTATGGGCATGAGCCTCACTGCACACAATCTATTTCTTTTTTTTTTTTTCTTTTTTGAGACAGAGTCTTGCTCTATCACCCAAGCTGGAATGCAATGGTGCAATCTCAGCTCACTGCAACCTCTGCCTCCTGGTTCAAGCCATTCTCCTGCCTCGGTCTCCAGAGCTACTGCTGGGACTACAGGTAGGCTCAACCATGGTTCTGCTCTGCTGGAGTGAAATACAGTAGTGTGATCATAGCTCATTGTAACCTCAAACTCCTGGCTAATTTTTTTATTTTGTAAAGAACTCCCAAAGTCTTGGGATTACAGTCATGAGACACTGCTCCTGGCTGAAATAGCCTTTTTCTATATGCTTTGTTAGTCACATTTGAATTTATTCTTCTATGACTCTGGCCCATTTTTCTGGTGGTATTTGCTTTTTTTCCTATTAATGTGTAAAAGCTCTATGTACATTAGAGGTATGTTGAAAATTGTTTTTAATCAGTTTTTCATCTAATTTTAATTTTGCTTATACTGTTACTTTTTTTTAACTAATTCATCATACATTTTCCTTTATAGTTTCTGCCTTTAGTGCCATACTTTAAAAAATGCAATTATCTTCTAGTACATTTATTACTTTAGTTTTTATGCAAAAACTTGTAATCCATCTAGAATTAATTTTGCTATCTGGTGACAGAATTTTTTTCTTGTCAGCCAGTTGTCCTGTATCATATGTCCTAACACTATCCTTTCCTGCTGAAACCTAGGTCTCTTTCCGGACATCTATTCTGAGCTCTCCTTGACAAGAATCCTTCTTCCCAGTTGGACTAGTTTATCCTTTGTCCACAACAGGTTTCATGAAGGCTGCTGCTTTTATTGTTGCCTTTACCTAGAATATCTCCTAATTTTCCTCCATAGATCCTTCAATGTAAAATCATTATGGAAATAAGTAGTAAGTGCCATTCAAAACAAGAAATACCTTCACAAGAGGGAAGACAATGGAAAAGTAAACATCAGAGGGTCTACAGATTATTCTTTGTGTAGCTAAAGAAATCCATGAAGGCTGGGCAGAGTGGCTCATGCTTGTAATTTGGGAGACTAAGAAAGTAGAATTGCTTGAGGCCAGTGGCCAGTTCAAGACCAGCCTGGACAACAAAGCAAGACCCTGTCACTAAAAAACAAAAAAATTAGCCAGGTGTGGTGGTGTGTTAGCTACTCAGGAGGCTAAGGCTACTGTGTTAGCTACTCAGGAGGCTAAGGTGGTAAGATTGCCTGAGGCCACGGGTTTGAGGTTACAATGAGCTATGATCATACTACTGCACTTCACTCCAGCGTGGGAAACAGAGCAGAACCATGTCTCAAAAAAAAAAGCTATGAAGTTCTTTATTCCCCCTTGGTGGGCTCTGGACACACAGAAGAGAACCCAGAAGTGATTTTAGAAGAAAGTGTTTGAGAGCATTAAATTGCTTGCAAAACAGAATGAGAGAGTATTTGGAGTTCTAGTGGAGTTCTAGAGAGTTTGCAGAGGAAAGATAAGATTATAAAAGATCAAGACCAACATACGTGGGTGATATGAATAATGACAAATCCCTAGTGGAGAGGTGGGCAAAAGTACTTTAAGGAACAAGAAGAATATCCAGTATGAGAATTCAAGTTGCTTACTTTGTTGCAATGTTAACTTCTCTCCATTATCCCAAACCTTTGATAAAGTCTGCAACACATATAAAGGTTGGGAGTTCTACATCTGTATCAGTGTGGATGGAAACAGGGACAGTGTACTTGATCCAGTAAACCATCCATAATTTGAACAAATTCAGTGGAAGCAAGAGCTCAAAATCAGAGCTCCTGGGAATTTGAAGAAATGTAAAGAAGGAATCAGAACAACTTGCTGTAAGTTGAAGAATGACACTTTGAGACAAAACTTGAAGGAGAAGGATGACTTCAGCTAGCTGATGGGTTATACCAGGATGCTCAATCGTTAAACTCTCAAAAGAAATCAAACTGCATGAGGTTCCAGTGATTCACAGCAACATCCAGCAGGGGAGATACCAATTACTCTGTTTGCCCAAGAAACAAACTGAAGATCATATGCCCCACCTCTTATCCATTCTGCATGCTCCTCAAGAGGTCTTCTGGCCCCTACTTCACCTAAGGGTGGCCTTAGTCAACTCTCAAGTTTTCTCCCAAATCAAGGAAAAAAGGAGGAGGAGGAGGTTTGCAATGGGGGGAGGGAACGGTTTGATGAAGAATATAATTTGGCTTGAGACATATTGAGTTTAAGATGCTTAAGAGCTATCCAGGTTACAATGTCAATAATGTTTGGCTATGATGAGTAAGAAACTCAGAAGAAAGAGAGGTCCATGTAGGAGATGATGGTATTAAAGCACTTGATGTGTTAGTGGTAGCTGAAACAATAAATATAGATGGCATCACCCAGAGACAGTATATAGAGGGAACTGAGACAGTTGGGCATAGTGGTACCCACCTATACAATCTCAGCTACTCAGGAAGGCTGAGACAGGAGGATTGCTTGAGCATAGGAGTTTAAGGCTACAGTGAACTGCGATCACACCACTGCACTTTAGCCTGGGTGACAGAGCAAGACTTTGTCTCTTTATTAGATATTTATTTATTTATTTATTTATTTTTGAGATGGAGTCTTGCTCTGTCACCCAGGCTGGAGTGTAATGCTGTGATCTCGGCTCACTGCAACCTCTGCCTTCCAAGTTCAAGCGATTCTCCCACCTCAGCCTCCCAAGTAGCTGGGACTACAGGCTCACACCACCATGTCCAGCTAATTTTTGTATTTTTAGTAGAGAAGGGGTTTTGCCATGTTGGCCAGGCTAGTCTTGAACTACTGACCTCAGCTGATCTGCCTCCCTCAGCCTCCCAAGATGCTGGGATTACAGGCGTGAGCCACTGTGCCCAACCTCTGTCTCTTTAAAAGAGAAAAAATGAAGGGAATAGAGAAGGTAGCCAAGGCAGTGTCTTAGGAAATGGTCTCATTTAGGAAGGTTGTTAGGGAAGACAGTTAACAAGTTTTCCACAGTATAGGCCAATTAATACTTAGCAAATACCTATAGACTGATCAAAGAAACTACATGCTCTATTTAAGATCTTTGAGGTCAGGCACAGTGGCTCACACCTGTAATCCCAGCACTTTGGGAGGCCAAGGCAGATGAATCATGAGGTCAGGAGTTCAAAGCCAGCCTAGCCAAGATGGTAAAACTCATCTCTACTAAAAATACAAAAATTAGCTGGACGTGGTGGCAGATGTCTATAATCCCAGCTACTTGGGAGGCTGATGCGGGAGAATCGCTTGAACCCAAGAGGCAGAGATTGCAGTGAGCTGAGATTGTGCCACTGCACTATAGCCTGGGCAACAGAGCAAGACTGTCTTAAAAAAAAAATCTTTGAATGCCTATTTCAAGCCCTCTTGCAACTTTTCTATAACTGAGCTGACTCCCTGGTCTTCAGTTAAAACCATGGTCTTTCAGAAGTGGCAGAAATGGCCAAATGCCATAGGCCAAGGCCCCAAGGGTGGGGCTTGTATATGGAGAATGCTGCTTACTAGATGTTCAAAGAACATTACCTAAGGACACGGTCCATCCATACCTAAGGGTATGGTCAAAGCCGAGCCTTTCCATCTAGTTTGTTTTATCTGAGTTGAGATCAGCCAACTAATGATTTCACTCATGACAATAAAAACACATACATGAAGATATCAAGAGGACCTAGTAATTTCTTCATCAGAAGTCTTAGAGATTTGTCTGCTTCAGGTGGTCTTTTCCTAGCTGTGTTGGCTGGCAATGGCATGCAGGGGAAGTAACTGGCTTGCTCTTTGGTTACTAGCTATGCCAGCTGCAATTCCTGGTACTCGGTCACCCACCCAGCCAGATTTAAATGACTACCCACCTGTAACACTGCTCTGCCCACAGAGCATGGGCTTATCTCCATTCAACGATTGACAAAATTATTATAGTCTAGACTGCGCACAAGATATAGAAGAGGGATTTAATAGGGAAAGTAGAAAATTTATGTCATGCTCATTCCATAAAAATGAGCTCCATCCCATATGGCACCAATCCCTATGTGTAAAGTCAAAATCCTGAACTAGTAATGAAACTTGAGACTGATGCTGAGATGAATACTGTCCCAGAGGAGAAAGAAAGGGTGCTCAGGAGGGCTCTAGAGAAATTCTGGCAGAGATCCAACTTAGGGAAGAGAGCCTCAGAGAAGCCCTCCTATCTTATATCTAGGAGCCAGTGATGGCCCTGGCCATGATGGCACCATCGCATTTACCACCTCCTGTTTCTATTGGGAAGGAGAAGAGGATCCAAAGTAGAAGAAGGAATGCAGAATTCATCTTTCCTTCCCATTTTAGAGCTCCACTGCAGATCAGAGGTAGCTTCAT